TAAAAATGCATATATTTTCAAAAAATACACCTAATTAATTCCGTGCTCTTAGTGAAAAACATCATTGCAGACACAAAAAAAGTTTATCAATGAAAGACAAGTTGGACTTGGATAGTCTCTGAAAAGTTGTTTTCCCTGTTTATTTTGTCCAAATGTTAAGACTTGAAAAGTGAAAGTACATTGCAAATGGCGGATTCTATAGGGGTTTTGTCTTTATACATGTCATGTTTTCAATAACAGCCTTTCAGAGACCATTCACGTCCAACTTGCCGTTCAATGATAAACATATATTATTTCTGCAATGATGGTTTTCACAAAAAGGACAGAATAAAGCAGGTGCTTTTTTTTTTTTTTAAAAATATGCACATTTTCTGATATAATTTTTCTCCAATTTTTTTTTTAAATATTTGTTATCAAGTGATTATTTCTATCTATTAATCAATAATATATTTATAAACTGTTAACGTTTTGACTTTATACCACACATAGTTTTGGAGCTATTGTAAAAATAATTTTTTAGACATGTTTACCTTTGACGGAACCTTAACACCCTTTAAATGCTGTTTATAAATGCATTTGGCATTGAAACCTTACATGTTGTGTAGTCAAAGTGACAAAAATATCATTCTCCAGCATTATGCAAAAAAAAAAAAAAAAAAAAAAAAAAATTCGGTCGCGTAGCTTATGAAATATTAAAAAAAGTTCAAGTTTTTTTCTGGGACAACCCTCGTATATTTATAAATATAGCAACCTGCTGTTTATTTCCTTTTAGTTAACAAAAGAAAAATGACTCAAATGTTTAAATTGATATAGTTTCAGTCGATAGTCTTTTATTCAATTGTAAATGTATATGAAGCATACTGTTTTGGAACAGACATTTCATAATAAAATCATTAAACAGACCAATATAATTTTGATCCGTTGAACAGTATCTTTTATTTCACACGTACAAGTAACAGGTGTGTAACTTTACAAAATTAAAAATAATTGAAAAACCATCAAATTTACCAGCGAAAAAACACGCTTTGCATAATTAGTATGAAATAAAATAAATTTGTCGATTTCTTTTGATCTAAATATAACACATATAATAAAGGGTACAATTGATGATTAAACAACAGGTGGCAGAAGAAAATGTATAAAAGAAAGTGATGTTCTCTGTTCATATGAGTTGCTGACAACCAGAGAAGAGGCGGGTAAATATGATATTATTCCACTTTTTCAGAAATTTAACTTGATATTTTTTAACTGCTTGTGAGTGGCAAAAAGTATGTAAAGTGAGTACAAAGTATTAACCTTAAGGTGCATCTTATTCTTTTTGTCATCTTAGGGATTCGGAATATCTCATTTTAATTAGACTGAAAAAAGTTTGTGTCTTCGAGAGTGACCACAGGCATGAAAACCTTTTTAGAAACGTCAAAAAATATCAAATGTAAGCTAAAAATGCCTTCTCTTTAATTAGTCCTAAATCATCTTTACCAGTAACAGCAACGAATACATGTAATAAACCCAGGTACAGTACATGATCATTCCTGACAGAAGGATTTAAATTTCATTTCAGAATTTCGGCCAATTACTTCAAAATTAATGTGTATATTAATTAATCGGCGCATCCAAAAATCATTTTATTTCTAAGGAAAGATATAATCTTAGAATGTAAAGTGGAAATATCGAGAACAGGCTCGGAGAGAAAACTGAATTGTAAAAGTATGAATAGAAAAATTAAATGTCTTTTGTCAAGTGTTCGTCAAGTGCAGCATACTTTCATTTTTCGAAGAAAAAATGAATGTCAAAATGAATTCCTTGTGCAAGAATTGTGGCAAATATCTAAATTTTCTTACATGGTAATTAAGTAGTGTCGTTTTTTTTTATGTAAAATTGTAGTGGGATTTTTTTTAAATAAACTGTCACTTAAAGATAAAGATCGGGAAAAAAAGCTACAAAGGAATAGGCTACCTACTATCAAGGTAAATTTTGTTTTGAATTTGTATCAAATAATTCATTTGAAAGTTCGTTATTGAAAGAGGCCAATAACTCTCTGTTCATTGGAATGAACACGACACCAGAAACCAAACAATTTTTAGACATTGTTTAGATCCAAACATGAATATTTAATTGAAGGATAAATTCATCTGTCCCTGAAATCAGTTCGACTCACTACAACAAAACAGTGTAGATTAAAAAAAAACTTCGAAATATTTTTTACGTTAAATCTAATGAAGGAGATGATCAATATATTCAGCGGGTAAAACGAAGAACTGCTCTTTAAACTATGTCCTGTTGGTTCCTATGAACAGTTGCTGACTTATATTTCCAACGGAAAATACAACACTCCGATACCAATAAGTTGCTTAAACTAGATGTTTCCGGTTTCAATAAAGTTTATTTTATAGGAATTGAAAGAGTGTACTAATTTTCATAAGTTAGGAAACCACATGTAATAAGAGCTTGTGATAGTTTCAGTGAAAGGGAAACTTGCAGGGTATGGTAGTCTTCTAGGATGGGAAATTACTTGGAATTATCTGAATTTACCACTAGTTTTTCTTGAGTTTGGAAACAGCATGGTATTGGAGCTTAATAGTTTCCTTGCTTTACAAACTTGAAGGGAATCTTCCTAGGCTTGTTTGAAACAAAATAAAACTACTAGGACTCCTTTAGTTTAATTGAAAAAGGACACTATATTGAATCGTTATATACTTGTTTCCATACCTTGGACATAAGGGGAATCTTGAACACTCCCATATTGAAAAAAAGATGATTGATAAGCTTTATGTGCCATTCTAATTTCAGATAACCAACATAATGTTTGTTAGAGTGTCTTACCTGTGTTTGGTCGGCATAGTTTTGTTCTTGACTATGGAGACAGTTCTTTCGGTAAGAAAGAAAAACGAAAGAAATATGAACTGAGAGATGTGTGAAAACTAGTTGTTAAAGCGTTCAAAAATCCTGTTTAAGAAAATGTTTAGGTACCCATGTGCTTTTAAAATATGAATTAGATAACGATGCATATTAAAAAAAAACCTGTTGTAATACTATTAAAAGAACAAAAGTCACTATTAAAGTCAGAATGAAGAGCATAACTAGATTATTGTTATTTATTACACACTTAGTAATAAATACAGGTTTTTCGCATATGCGATATGGCTAACGTCACAATAACCGTATCAGCCGTGCAGGGCTGATATGGATTTGCAGGGCTGATAACCTATATCAGCCCCGCAAATTCATATCAGCCCTGCAGGGCTGATACGGTTATTGTGACGTCAATATCACACCCTTAGTAAATTAAACCACAAAAAGAGTACTTGTGATCATACACAATTTTTGGTGGGTTCATATTCTCTTAATTTTAACTTTTTGAAAATAAGAATAATCTTAATTTACAAATACATGTAATAGGTTATTTTCAAATTACGAATCGAGTGCATTGAAATAGAAGTAGAAACAAACCCAAATCGCATGAGACAATAGACCATGTGCATGTATATGTAAGAAGTCCATGCATGATTATTTACTTATTTTCTTCTCAACTTAATGTATGCTGTATTTTATTACAAAGTATGTAATAAACATATTAATAATACCCTTTTCCACATCACATCCTTTATCAGCCCTCGACCAATATCGGCCCTCGGGCCTTCGGCCCTCTGGCTGATATTGGTGTCTCAAGCTGATACAGGATGTGATATGGAAAATGGTATGTATTATTCTCTATGTAATTGATAATAATATCTCACAGGTGTTTTGATATGCATCTTTTCGCTGAAAAATTTCTAATGCATTATGTTTATTGATATAAACAGGAAGAAGATGAAAAGAATCCTGACACCAGCGCACTTTATAAAAGAAAGTTGAAGAGAGAGGTGTGTAAATAGTAAGGGCGTTCGAAAAGCTTGTTTCAGAAAATGTTTAATGTGTTCTAAATTCATGAGTCGTAAAGAACAATGATATTCTGCAAGTTTACTGTTTAAATACATTTGACAACAATGTATTTATTAAAGTCACATTGGAGAAAATAACTAGATTATTGTTCCGAATCTGTTATTGATAATACATTTCACAGCTGTTTTAACATGCATATATTCGCTGACAATTTTCCAATGTATCATGTTTATTAATATACAGGAGGAAGACAGTATGGAAACTCCTGACGCCAGATCAACTTTTAAAAGAGACAGTATAGAACCTCCTGACGCCAGACCAACTTTTAAAAGATTGTTAAGGAGAAGAGGTTGTTTTAGCAATTTTATGTCACTGATAACGTGAATATCAATAACAAAATATTAAAACTTTTCTGTATGCTGCCTAGTCCATATACAAAATCTGAAATACAGTAGTATTTCAATGCATCATTTCAATCGAATTCTGTAAAAAAACAAAAAGACTTCTAAATAGAAATTTGGTTTTCAATGCGCATATCATCATTTGAATCACATTGTATGCCATACTAAAGTATTTACATATCTTTTCAACCTTAACATCAGAGATTGAAAGCAATAGGCATCGTCGTTAATATTGGTTTCTCAATTTTTGAAAATTATAGTTCAGTGACTAGAAATGCTGAAAAGTGTCAGACAAAATTAAAAATGAATGTTAAGATTTATTTTGAGACTTATTTAAGAAGATGAAACATTTATATTTCATATAATAATATAATATATTTATATAGTATTTAAGAAGAAAAAATAATCTCAAAAGACGAAAAGATCTACAAGAAATAAACATCTGAACATGAAATTTATATCCCAGGACATGTCACCTGATCCCATGTATGATGGTTTGGGAGGTCCATGCTTCCTCTGTTCTTATTTTATACTATTTTAAGGACTTTTAAGCTTGAATAATATTCGTAATCGCCAGGCCATATATTTCAGTTAAAAAAACATAAACATGAGCAGCTTAAATTTGCTTTTATTTGAAAAATACATTTTTGTGTCATGATCACTATCAAATAATATGCATACTTATAGACTACGATTTTTATTTTGTTTTATTAAAATAATAAGGATTTGTTTCAGCAAGAAAAGTGGCCTTCACTGCATACCTCGGTAATCAGAAAATAAAGCGCAACAAGCAAGCCATAAGATACTCTCGTATAACCCTCAACATAGGGAGAGCGTACCGACGTGGTATTTTCCGCGCCCCCGTATCTGGAGTGTATGTCTTCTTCTTCACATCCATGCCACAACGAGGCAAAGGAGACGCTCTTTGGTTGATGAAAAATGGAAGACGAGTAGTCGAGTCTGTGTCTGGAAGAGTGTCGTCAGCTTACAACATGGGAAGTAATATGGCGATCCTGTACCTTAGACGCGGCAACAAGGTTTGGGTTCAAACTTCCCCTACTTGGAAATTCTCAAAGATATACAGATACCGGTACTCAGCCAATTCCTTCTCCGGCTTTCGCCTGTATTAGTCAGTACTATGACAAAAAGCTGATGCAAAATACAATAAATGATTGATCATCAAAAATAAATACTTGTTTCGTTTTATGTGGTAAGAAAATCTTTACACTGTAAAAGTTTTATCTGATCTCTAAGATCTTATAGCTTTTTATATGATTTCATATTGCTATAGCAATTTAAAGGGAAAAGATAATTTCAAAAATTATTTTTTCTGGAAGTTATTGAAATTTCGAATACCTTAACGGGTTTGATTGATGCATCCTTACACTTTCACAAGTTTTTACTTTATCATTAATGCTTTAAAATGTTAAAAGAGTCGGAATGTTTTGTATTAATGAAAAATACACTGTATTAAAACTATCATCCTGAAAATTTAGAGTGAAAATGCGAAAGCAAACCCATTCCTTAGTAATGTAAGCCCGTGCTAAATGTTGTGTACAAAGTTTAACAAATTGAATGCACCCATGAAATTAACATACACAGATTTCGTAAACAGGAAACGAGCTCTGTTGTTGTTAATGTTTACGTTTTACTTGATGTGTTCAATTGTTAAACTCTGCACGCACCACTGAACAGGGACAGACAAAACTGATGAGATGGTTTTTTTTTCTCCCCGCACATTTCTACTATTAATTTTCTGGATGAGTGTTTTTAATCTTTTTATATTTTTCATTCATACACAACAAAACTGGTACGTTATGTAAGTATGAAGAATAAGTTAAAAATTGTGAAGGTGCAAGGATGTATCAATCAAACGCGTCGAATTTTCAATTATTAACTTTCAGAAAAATAACATTTGGATTTTATTTTCGTATGAAAAGCAACATAAAAGTTAACATTAAATATGTGTTTAAGCACCTTTAATGTTAAGTTTAAAAGAAATTTCCACCGTCTGACCTGATTCTTAGTGCAATTTTTGCTTTAAAAAACTGAATCAGAGGGACATGAGATTTGATTTTAAGCAAAAAGGCAATTTTGGTGTCCAATGTTGTATATTTGGAGTGATCAGAAAATATTTCTTAGAATTTGTTATGATTGTAACAACAAACCATAACAAACCATATCAAAGTTTGAAAACTTAATATAAATTGTCAGAATGCTTAATAGTGGTACATTCTGTTAGCGTCATTATCTCTTGACACAGCCAAATCACTTTACTTTTAAGTTACCTCTGGGCAATGGCTGAAGAAGCTTCATTCAATAGCATCAGCTCAATTTGCAAAATCCCAAATAATAGTTACCTATACAACGGGTGGTGAAAACGCTCGATAACAAATTAAATAATAAAACAGAATAACAAAATAGAAATGACATATTGTTTCAGCGTTGAAATTTTTAAAAATTAGTCCTCTTCCATGCCCATGCACAGATCGATGATATAGGCGGTCACGTGACTTGCTCCTTAGCTTTTAGTCACAGAAGCTTAAAGATTTTTTCCGATTATGATAATTCTTACCATGCAAGTTATTTTTTGTAAAAGAAAATAGTCCGTTTGTCAAAAATGGCCAAATCTCGGCAATAGTATTGGTGGATAATGATATACGTACTTTTCCATAATGAGGATGGTGACCGTCGAAACCCTAGTCCCTTGTCTCTGGGGCGTCGTTTGTTTAATGTTGAGTATGGGTGCCTTCATTTTATCACTATGATATGTTTAAAGTTAAAAGTAAACGATATTTTAGGGATTTAATAATTCTATTATTGTTAAGATATTCAACTTTTTTTCTAACCAAAAGTTTGCGATATTTCATATCAAATTCCTTAACCTCTCCCAAGATTGTTTTCACTGGGGAACAAAGCAAACATCATTTTTAAATTTCCCCCTTCCTTCAATAAAACAATCAATCCAATGGTAAGTCTTATGTCCTCATTAACCTTGTACAAATTAGTATCTACTTCTGCAATTGAATTTCCAAGATATACGTTTAACTTTAAAGCCGTTTGTTGCGCGAATATACGACTGAGTCAACCATATTTTGTCACAAGTGATCTACATATTGACGTCATTATCAGAATATGCATCACAAACAAGGGTCAAAACATTTTAATACATATGCGTTTTATAGAACATGTGTTTAACTCTATGTGTGTTAAATTTCACTCTGATCTGAAATGTGGTTTTGTAAATAATAATAATAATAATAATAATAATAATGATTGTTTTTATATAGCGCTTTTCTAGCATAAATGCTACTCAAAGCGCTTTACAATACATTATTACCCCAGCAGACCTTAACAATCCAGAATCTTTCTCAGTGCAAGCTGCCGTTATCAGCGCTAGAACACTAACATTCTGACAATATCTTTCACTGTCTATGGCCGGGTACCCCTTTTACACTTGGGTGGAGTGAGGAAATTTGTGTAAAGTGTCCTTCCCAAGGACATAACCAATCTCCAAACAGCTCAGTATTACGTTACGCTACAACTCCATATCATCGCTGCCACAGGCCTTTTGATATGACCTCGTTCAACCGTGGTTGTCTGCAGCTGCGTGACGTCACAGTTAAATAAGGCGCGGTAAAATTAGAGAATTCTAGATTAAAAAAATTGTATATGATTATGCGAGTAAAATTCTATTGATACATGAAAATACTTACAAGCATTAGCGATCCCCTGTTTTAATATCAATCTTTTTTTTATTTAAATATCTAATTTATCATGTTTAATAATTATCATGGCTTATACACCATGTGCACGCGAGATGATTAATTTGACTGAAAAAAATACTTGAGTTATCTATATGCCAAGTACAAAATTCAATCAAATGCATTTAGTATTTTAGTTCAGACCAAAAAAACATAAGGTCCATCATTAACAAGCTTTATGAAAACAGCCTGTTTATTTACTGATTTATTGAATCGGTAAATAAAATTCAAAATTACACATTGACGCCGATTATATTATAGAACATAGAAATTGGTCAAGAATTGTTATACACGATAATTAAACTGCTTAAGAATATTTTTTTTTTACCGTTTTATCTTTCTTTTCTTTTCTCCATTTTTTTAATCTGATATCATGAATAAAGACGATTATTTTTCATACATCCGATTTTAGAATTGGGGGGAAATATCAACAAAATAATTGAGGAAGTAAACAAATATTAAATCAAAATTCAATTTGCATTTTCAGCATCGATAAACAGGAACGTAATATCGTTATAAAATATAACCGGGCAGCCAGATTTTTTTTTTACAATACAACCCCCCCCCCATAAAGAGAGAGAGAGAGAGAGACAGAGAGAGAGAGAGAGAGAGTAGCTAAAAAATGACTACAAACATATACCTAATTTGTTGGTCCAAACTTTTCACACAATAAATTTCGTAAACATAACGTTAACCATGCCAATTTGCATGCATGAATACATGTATACTTCAACATACAAGGGGTGTCCTTTCAGTGAACAATTTCAACAGTAAATGGTTATGTTCGGACCCCCCCCCCCCTTCTCCCTTCCTCTACAACGTAATTGATTAAAATTCTGTTCCTGCATTTATATCGGTCGTCATTTTATATAAATCTTGATTTATCAAAACTTCTCAAAAAGTCGGTCCCAGTTAGCAGTAAACGCTATTTCCATGTAGCTTACATTGCATTGACAGAAAATGAAATATGCAACGTACGGTTTGGGATAATGGACATATAAATTTTATGTATAAAGAAAAATTTCAAAGGGCAAACGGGTTGGGGGGGCACGCGCGGCGCCCCGGCACTGGATCCGCCTTAGCGGACATTTTTTAGTGTCTCCATCGTTTGTAGAAAACCTTTCTCTGATTGAAGAAAATGATATTTAGTTTCTTTCAATGACAGTGTTATCATGCACCTTTATTACATTGGAGGGGGTGAGGATATTCAGAATTCTTTACTTCTTAGTTTCAAAATACAGTCATCACCTCCGTGCACTTTCCGTTGCGGTAACAGAATCACTCCATAATCATTTTTTTCTGTTGAAAATACATGTACAATGTCTGTCTCCAATCCGACTTATGCTTGTCAAAGTTTTTGGTATTTTTTTTAATTTTAACTTGCTATGCCCTCCCCCTTTACATACATACTTTTAAAATTGCTTAGTGCCTGATTATTGTTCTAAAAACCTCAATATTTCAAGTAATTTTAAATAGTTAGGGTTTACTGTAATTAAAAGTAATACAGTACAATCAATTTAACTCAATATAACAGGTCTAGGCGGCCTCTGTTTTTGGAGGATAGATTTTATCCTCTAGAAACAGAGGATGGAGGTGTCGCCACCTACCGGACTTTTCAAAACAAAGGGCAGTCTAAACCAAACAAATAACAGCAACTCTTGCATCTCAAGTCCCAGTTTATGTACCGTACTCTGATTTTTCAACAAAAACAAATAAAAGGTTAAATTTCATACGATGATGGTTAAATATAGGTATTTAAATCATTTTAACAAATTTCGGTAATTTGCTGTCAATGAATTATTCATTTGAAAGCTTTGTTAAAGACCCTTTCCTGTCTGAAAATTAATTATAGCCAACCTCATTTTCCGGTACCATAATTATGTGTTAACAGCATAAAAGTTTTAAAAAACATATTTTTGAAAAATTCAGTTTCATTATTATTTCATTTAATAAGACGGTAGAGGAATTTTTCTTTGAAGTTTGCTCTTCTGCACGGGACTACAGTGGGCGGAGCTACTTTCCGTTCTGTATAAGTCTTCTATACTGTTGTATGTGTATACATCTAATAAAACTGAAATATTAAGACCCCTGAAATAAATTAGGATCAATCTCCATCTACAGCAAGGTTAGACCGTCCCCTTTATCAGTTAAGACTGACTTAAATTCAATTGCGTCTACCCGTTGTCAAAACTAATCTGACTGAAACTTACGTTGTCCGTGGCAATATATATACTGCGAATGCATGGTCCCCGTCGAGGCCTCATCTAAGAACTCTAGCGGAAGTTTAGATGCTGCACAGCTAAAAAGTGGGATTTTTTTTCTTATTTTCTCTAAATAACATTTATTTTATCTTTGCTTAAATTATCAGGCAGAGTGTATTTTGTCTTTACAGTACGTTTTCTTTTGTGTTTCCTTTTCCTCTAATC